CACCAGGTTCAGAAGATCACGAAGACGACCCCTGTTGCAAGGTCGACCAGGTCAGGACTCGAGGGTGGGCGATGACAGGGTAGTCCCGTTTCACAAAAGAGTGGGCCTGCGGCAAGCCAGGATGCTCCCCAAGCCACCGCCCACCCTCTTCCCTCGCTGCTCTCTCACATGGGCTGCGGGTCAGCATCCTGTCTGTCTACCTCACCCTGCTGCTGCCCCCCCACCCGCGCGCGCCTCCATGGATTCCTCCAATTACCCCAATTGTCTTTTTCTTGTCGAGGCAAGGTACCCAACATGGTGCGCTCGTTTGTCAAGCAGACTCAGATGTCGATAGTTGTCGACGAGATCACAAAGCTGCGAATGCCTATCCATGGATGTGCCTTCATCCTTCACGTCATACTGGGCTGAGAGGGCCCGTGATCTCCTGCACTCCTATGGCCGAGCTAGGGCTCAGACGACCCAAAGAGCCGGCAAGTCGACGGGAAGTCGATTCGATTTGATATATCTTGGCAGTATGCCCTGATGCTGGCAAGTGGATAGCAAATCTCGCATGTCCCCCGGCGCATCCGCCTTTTGGGTGGGACGCCCGTCTGAAATGGCCCAATCGATGCGGCCGTGTCGAGGACAACCCCTGGGTCTCCGCCCCTCGATGGCCATTGGTTCGACCCCGTCCCCTTGCCTAGCCTCTGCCCTCCTCGTCTTCGTCATTCTTTGCGCTGGCGCTCTCGCTGGCGCTCCCGCTGGTGCTATTGATTCAGATTTGGACATGCGCCTACGGTGTCTCGGTACAAGCAGTGTCGTCCCGCCACTCACCAGTGGTGGGGGGCTGGCGGGGCTTCCACGATGGCGTGCGTCGCGCTGTACGCTGCTTTGTCACCGGCGTGGGAGGCTGCTACCTGTACATGGACACACGGCCAGCCAGGCACCCGAGATGCTGGCAGTCGATGGCAGGGAGACACACGGCAACCCTTTTCGCCAGAGTGGACAGCCAATCCCAAGCGGCTGGTTGGGGCGGCATAGCGTATGGGCCACAGGGCGCGGGATCACGGGTGTTACATGGCGAGGCGCGACAAGCATGATGAGCCAAGGCCGAGCAAGTCAGTGAGCCCGGCACGGCATGGCATCCTTTCAGAAAAGCGTGTCCCCCCACCCTCTCTGGCACGAGTGCACCAAAGGGGCCACACCGCCTATGGCGGTCGCCGGCGCTAGAAGGACCAGGGGGAATTGGAGGGGCGAGGGCGACGAGCTCGGGAGACAAGCAATGGCGGTGGGTGGCTTGACGAAAGCTACGTACCAAAGTTCGGTTACCTCGCGCCTCGTCTCGCTTCGCCCCTTGGCCAGGTGGACGCTCGCCCCCTGACCTGATCCCGTGGGCCGGCTACGAAAACGAGGCCGGTATCATCCTGGTCCGCTGGCTAGTGCCGGTCTCTGGCTGCCTTATTGGGCAACTGCTCCTGGTCGGCCCTCCAAGTGGATGCCGCCATTGGCCACTTAATCTGAAATGCAGACGACC